TTAGTTTAAGATGTAAAATACAGGTAGAATAGGTTGTTTTTCTTTATAAATACTTTTATAATTGTATTTTGTTATAATAATAATGGTTTACACATGGAAATCCTACAAACATGAAACAATTATTTTACACAACCAAATGACATAAATAATAATAATAATAATAATTATTATTATTATTATTATTATATATATATATATATATATATATATATATATAAAATAATGGTTCACAAGATTATTAAAGACAAACACAAAATGAAGTCATCGGGGAGGACAATTGCAACGGTATAACATCCTACTATATTACCAATAAATTAGCATAACATTACAAAAAAAAATAAAAATAATGACACATCCTATGAATTTGCAACTACACCAAACACAACAGAAAAGAAAAATAAAATCACTTTTTAAACCCAAGACAAAAAATCACAAGCAATAAATTAAAATAATCCCAAACAACTTATATCATAAAAAAAAAAACCCACAATTATAAAACCCTCACAATAAACCAAGTCCATAAGCCATACGAATCTTCCTATTGTCAAATAAGAGATGATGTGATTTTCATATGGGTTATTAATGGTTAAAAAATAGCTACAATTCAACAATAGTGAGTTAGTAGAGAAAAAAAAAAATTGTCACAAACCTTAGTTGGTGTTTCGATCTTTTACTAAAAAAATTAGGTTACCACAACCAAATCTCACTCGAACTAGTACAAACCTCACAAATATCGGATATTAGAGTTTATTTGGTGACATAGGCAGTTTTTGAAATCAAGTTTACAATTTTGATGATTAGGGTAGGAATTAGGAGAAAATAAGTTCTAAAGAGATTTATTGTAAATTAATCAAAAGAGGATTGACGACAAAGGATATTGACTTCAACCCACAGATATTTCCGGTAGCAAAGGATCGTCGATAATGATTTATTAATTTACCGATGAAAATCTAATTTTTCAAAAAACAAATCTTTATCGGTATATTTTGTCAGTAATTATTTATTTTCCATGACTTAACTTTCGTCGATAAATGTCTATTTGATTGTGGTGGATGGGAAAGGTTATGATGATTGATTCGTGAAGATGGATGTTGTTCTTGGGTTTCAAGAAGTTGATGACATGGTGAAAATCGGGTTCAAGAACATCCAAAGAATGCGTCAGAATGTGTATAAAGAGAACAAGATGCTGGATTGCAAGGCATGAGTTTTGTTGCATCAATTTTTGCAATTGTTTTCCAAAAAGTCTCAAAGGAACTGCAAGCAAGCGTGGAACACTCTAAAATAAGTTTATGGAAATTTTGGAAAAACTAAGAAAGTAAAGTTGCAATCCCTTCGAAGACAGTTTAAACTCCTTTCCATGATTGAGCAAGAGACCATTGTTGAATACTTCAACGAAATTCAAGTTCTAGTAAAATCCATGCGAGCATGTGATGAAGCGTTGGATGACATCAAGATTGTTGAAAAGGTTCTCAGAACTTTAACTCCTCGGATTAATCTTATTGTTGTTGCTATAGAATAATAAAAAAATATTAAGATTATAACTATTAAAGAGCTACAAAACTATCTAGAAGCATATGAGTAAAGAGTGATTGAAAGGAAAAACAATGAAAGGATTGTAGAGCAAGCTTTACAAGCCAGAACCAATCAAAATTGCAGAGGTCGTGGTGGTTGGAATATAAGAGGTAGGGGAAGATCAAGAGAAGGTAGAAATGGAGGCAAAAGTAGAGACTCAAATATGTCCATTTCTCAAGAACATTCTTACGGTGGAAATGATAATGAATAGAGAGAAAATTATAACTCTAGAGGAGGCAACAAATATAAAGGAAGAGGTGGTAGGAAGAATCTTGACAAAAGGAAGGTTCAGTGTTGTAATTGTGAGAAGTTTGGGCACTATTTATACATGTGTTGGCAGGGTAATGCTAACAAAAAAACCAAGAAAGATAATGAGGCTAATTTGGCACAAGAGGATGATGGGTCTAACTCAGATCAAGTGTTATTGATGATAACTACAAATAATGATGAAGATCTTTCTTCTTAGTATCTTGAACGGGTTACTCAAACCATATAACAGGAAATAGGGGCTGGTTGATTGATCTCAATCCAAATGTGAAAGACAGCGTGAGATTTTCTAACAACAACATGATTTCTGCAGAAGGAATAGGGAAGATGATGATCACGTGCAAAGATGGTAAGAAAACATATATGCATGATGTTTTGTATGTTCCTACAATGAAGAATATTTTGCTTAGTTTGGGACAACTATTAGAAAATGGATACACTATGACCATGCAACAAAATCACATTAAAATCTATGATTTCAAGCAGCGACAGGTAATTAAAGCACCCCTATCCAAGAATAGAACCTTTAACATTAATCTAGATTTCACTACAATCAAATGTCTATCCACTACTAATGTTGAGGAAGAGAGTTGGTTGTGACATTACAAATATGACCATTTAAACTTTAAAAGTTTAAATCAACTCTACAGTAAATAAATGGTATGTGGTCTACCACCAGTTTATTCTCCACTAAAAACATGTGAAAGATGTGTAATTAGGAGGCAGCCTAAGAAGGTTTTCAAGCCCACTACATCAAGAAGAGCTAAGCAACCCCTTTGTGTTGTTTATTAAGATGTATGTGGCCCTCTTGATACTCCATTTCTTAGGGATAACAAATATCTCCTCACTTTTGTGGATGAACGGACTAGAAAGTTCTGGATATACTTGTTAAAAGGAAAAGGTCAATTGTTCTCCATATTTGCTAAATTCTGCTCATTAGTTGAAAGACAAATTAAGTTTAAACTGAACATACTCAGAACCAATGGTGGTGGTGAGTATAACTTAAAAGAATTCAGTGAATTTTGTGCTACAAAAGGAATAGAACATGAAGTAACAACACTCTACACATCTCAGTATAGATTAAAAAATATCTTGTATGGCCTTAAACAAGCCCCTAGAGTCTGCAATAAGTTTATTGATGCTTTCTTGTCCAAGCAAGGCTTGGTAAAATGCACAGTGAAATTTGATGTATATGTGAAGTCAAATCAACACAAAAATTTGCTTCTTGTGTGCCTATATGTTAATGATTTGTTTGTCACGAGAAACATCCAAGCTGAGATTGAGCAATTTAAGGTGAAAATGAAATCATAATTTGAGATGTTGGATTTGGGAACTCTCAATTATTTCCATAGTTTTGAATTCATACACAATCACAAGGAAATATTTCTATATCAGAAGAAGTATACTTGTGAAGTGCTGAAAATGTTTAATATGGAAAATTGCAATGTAGTTTCTACACTAGAGGTAGTATGTCTAAAATTAACCGAAAAGTTTGATGAAAAATAGTAGATGCAACTTTGTTCAAATAGATTATATGATCACTTAGGTTTCTATATAATCGCAAACCTGACAGTTTATGGAGTTGGACTGATCAACAAATTTATGAATGATCCTAGAGTACCTTATATGCATGCAGCTAAACATATATTAAGGTATCTAAAGGATACATAGGACTATGACTTGTTATTCCCGAGAGGAAATGAATAGATTGAAACTATTATAAAAGCTTTTCTCTAACTTAGATTGGTGTGGAGGAGAGGAAAAGTATATTTGTCTATCTAATCAAATATTTGAATGCACCAATTTCTTGGTGTTGAAAAAGACAAAATGTTGTAACACTCTCTTCATGTGAAGCTGAATATATAGCTTATGTTGAAGCTACATATTCAAAGTCTGTGGTTAGAAACATTCATGAAGAACTAAAACTGGATTGTAAGAAACCTGTACATTATCAAATCAGTTATCAAAAGTAAACACATAAAAATCAAGTTTCTTTTTCTCAAGAATCAAGTTGATAAAAAAGAATCGGAGTTTATATATTCTTACACTAAAGATCAAGTGACAAATGTTTTTACCAAATCACCAAATCACCTAGACAAGTGTAATTTGAAAAACTAAAAGGGGTTATGGGACTAAATTCATATAAATTTTTGGATTAAAAGGGGAGTGTTGTATAATAATCTAAAATTAATTTCAGATGTAAAATACAATTAGTATATATATATATATATATATATATATATATATATATATATATATATATATATATATTCTATATAAATACTTGTACACTTGTATTATATTATGATAATAAGAAATCCTTTCAAGTTCTATATCTAATTTTTTCTATAAATCAAATCTTCGTTTAAAATTTATGTTTATAAAAGTTTTATTAAGTGTAGTCATTTAAAAATTAAAAAAAAAAACTACAAAAAGTAATAAAACATGGTTCAATTCTATTATAACATATTTGAAAAATATTATTTAATATCACCTAATTTGGAATAAAAAGTTATTTATAATCCTGGCCCATTTTCTCCCGCACTGCATTCCCCTCCAGCACGTTCACACACCACCTCCCTGCCACCTCTACTCTTTTCTTTTTATTTCTCCTGTAGAATTTCCCCACAATGGACTTGGGCCTAGTCTGATTAGCCCACTTGTCTATTCGGCCTCCTAGGTCATAAATCTAACGATTCTCATATTTGATTTGGAATTCAAAAAATAGGTTTTCTAATTCACCATTTTATATCCCAATTCAACAACCATGGTTTTTTTTTTTGCCTCTTCCGTGATTCCATTAGAAAAAATATATACTAAAAGAAATACTATGAAGAGAATCATAGCAGAAACTTTTAGACAATCCTAGCCCAAATAATCCTTTTAGCTGTTTGCCACGTTTGAAAAAAATGTCTAGAAATAAGTAGACATTTGAAATGAAACACATCAACTAACCCTTGTTTTTGTCAAAACAGAGTGATGTTGATAAACTTAGCTAACAATTTCCTGGTAAAAAAATCTCCCAAAAGAGGAGCAAAAACTTAGCATTCCAAAAGATTTCAGTTTCTGTCAATCTTCTGTTCCACTGCTGCCTTCCATGTTGTATACCAATTGCCAAAAACAGATATATAAGCAGAAAGAGCATCTAGTAACTTCAATAATCATCCGCACATCTCATCTTTTTCCTGCGTCATATAATATTCAAAAAACATTTTAATTGAAGAAAGCCCAATGTCTTGATTTAAAGAATAACATAGGTTAATTGTCAGACGACATCTTTCTAAATTTGTCTTCTAGATATGTTGAGATAAAGCAGTGTGAAACTATCCACTAACTCAATAAATTATTTTATCAAACATATAGCCCTGGAGGTATTTAAAATTAATAAAGTGCCAACTTTGCAAGCAGCTTCCATTTAGTGTTATAATGTCATTGAAACTTTCAACACATGATGAATGAAACAGTTAACAACAGATTATTGTGTGATCTATGCTTTAAGTATCTGTAAGAATTGATATTCGCAATTCGAATAATGACAATATGAAATTGACAGAAAAGATACACACAAGCTGAATACACTTCTTAAGAAACACTTACAAGTAAAAAAAAAATTAAACTTCCCTCCTGAATTAAAATTAACATACACACATGTTAATCAACTATTGGAGTTGGAGAGAGAAGCTAGATGGAATAACGTATATAAATTAACATATGAATAAACTAAGTTTAATTTGTGAAATTTGATCTATTTAATCTTTTTTTTTTTTTTTTACTTTTTGGCTCTTCTAAAAAACTTCATTAAGACCTCATAATCAAATATTTTTTCTTGTTGGTGGAACTAAAATGATATCAATATTACACGTGTCAAAAAGTAAAACAATTCTAGAGAGAATTACCATATCATTAAATAACTCCTCCAGGCGATCAAAATTGACTTTAGATTTGAGACTCTGCAAATGAAACAAGAAAACAAGTATTGTTATATAACAAATTTCAGAAGATCTTATGTTGATAACAAAAATAACTAAAATTAATCATATATTGATCACGAATTTGACCAACAAAAGTGCACGCACACTTCAAACAAACTAAATCGTGGAGAATTGCAGATGTTACACCACATCTATCTCAAAAACATGCCAACAAAGAAGTCTTAAGGTTTAACCTGAATGCTCAATGAGCACGGGAATCCATGGTCAAAACAACTATAGGCACTCCCCACACAACTCAACGCTTAGAAAGACAATTCCTTTTGTTTTCGTATGCTTGTCACAAGCATATCTTTCTTTTTAAAATAGGTATATTTCATCACATAATATACTTTAGAAAAAAAAAATGAAGATATGTGCAGAAAATTTTCAATTAACTTAACAGCACTCCAGCAGTGAACACTACCAAAAACCACTCATGGCAAAAATATACTCACGCAACCAAAAATAACACAAACTTCTACTCAGCCAAAAACTTGTCAGGTGTCAAAGTTTATTTACAAATACACCCCTAACACTTACTTCACACTCATCGTGGCCACCAGAAAGAGACATTTCAGCCACCAGGTACTCACACTTACTATCATTCTTTTGTCTCCCTTAATTAAACCAGAGATGTCGAACAAAAATCTGAAGATGCACGTTCGTTGTTGAATAAATTACCTTTTTTGCATTAGACATTTGGCCGAAGGACTCTACAGCAGATTGAGCTGGTGCTAGATTTTTTGCGTCATGGGCTCCTCTCATTCGCTACAATAGTGAATTTAACAAACCAAAATAATTTAAAGCTTGAAGTTTTGCAGTAGTTTATGCAGCACTAATTATACTATGTAGACAAAAAACCATGCATAATTATAGGACCACTCTACTAAAGCACACCCATTGAAATGTATATCCAGGTGTACAAATTTGAAAGTAAAACAATTAAAAATACATTATGTCTATCAAATACTGACAGTTCATTTGCCAGACTGACCAACTTCATAGAGTGGCTCCTTCAAAATTTCCCATGCATCTCAGGGTTCCATTTCTGTCCACTAGTTTAGATACTAGTAAATAGTACATACTATAGAATGACAGGCCATATATTTTTCATATCTCGGTATGTTCAGCTCTTTTTATATTGAAATTGGTTTCAACTAAACAAACTACTGTCTTGTTATATTTTGGCTAACATTTTCAAAATGAGAGGAAATAGAAATCATGTTACCCATTCATCTAACCTTGGATCCTCCAAACACTTCAACCATTGAGTAACTTATTATATGGCAACGGTCCATCAGTACCAGTATAAAGCATTGAAACACTTCAACCATTGAGTAACTTATAACTTATTATATGTGATCTTCATCAATCTAACCATTGAAATGAAAGAAAATAATTGTTCATGCTTATCAATTTCAAATAAATTGGTTATTCATAAGCTAAAATCTATAATAAAGTAGTTCTATATATCACAGAAATCAGATTTTCTGTTAATGAAATGCTGTACTGATAAAGCATGTATTAAAATCAAAATGACTTGACACTTCTTGACATTATCTATGTAATTTCAAAGGAAGAATCTCAAAAAAGTTTTTAGAAAGTACCTTTCTGGATTTTGCCGTAGCTGCAGCACCAGATGCAGCAAGCTCTCTTGCTGCTAGTAAATCCTTTGAACAGTTCTCAAACTTTCCCGCAAAAGCTTCCTTATTAGCTGCTGCAACTGTTTCCTTGACTGCTTGTTCCTGAAAGAAAAGATCAACCTAAAGTATAAGGAACAAGCAAACCTTCTAAATTTGAACTTAAGGTCTTGATAGAAAGTGAAAACTTAGAGATACGAACAACTTGCACCACTAAAACTATAAAATAGCAGATAAAATTTTATGTACCATAATATACACTCGGTTAACTCTTTCCCACAGTATCTTCTTGATATGCTTCTCCTCCTCATTGTGAAGATACACATCAACATCACAATCACTAATATCAGACAAAGTTTCTGATTCATCTTCCCTTAGTGAGTCGTCACATTTACCATCTTTAGTGGCCTCATGCTCAACATTATCCCGTGAAAGCATTGTTTATTCAATCCTGCAAAGCAAATTAGAAAATGATCAAGGAAGTAAGAAAAAAATTATGGCTCAACTAAAACAGCAATTCGAATTTAAATCTTTCTTTGAGATGAAGAAACAAATCAATAAAAAAATTCGGAACTAGTATTTGCAGAAGATCAATGACATGCATTCCTGCTAATACGACCATATCTTCTCTTGAAGAACAAAAATGCATAAACGCAGTTCAATATTAAACTCCGAATTAAATTTTAATAACCCTAGTTGTATAAATTTCTGAGTAGAAACTAATATATATATATAATATTTGTATATACAAAAAGTGCATTGCAAAACGATAAAAATATATAATACATAAAAGAAATTAGTTAAACTATAAGATGCTCTGAATCTGAACTCACAAATTTATTGGTTAATATGACAAATCTAAAAGTGTGCCTGAAATATTATAAAGGATCAGTGCCTAAAGTTTTTCATTAAAAAATAAAGAGAAAAAAACAGAATTTGATAGTGTGAAAATCAATGTGTAATTGATAAAACAGAGGAAGAGAGAATGTGAATGATTTAGAAGAGAAGACAGAAGCAGAGAATGGAGACTGACCGTAAATGCTTGGAAGACAGAGGAGCCGACGGTTGTGTGAATAGAGTTCTCTTGTCTAAGGTTTATATTCAACATTTTCTAACAAGCCCTTTTAGCTATATTCATTGGTTAAAATATTTTAAATTACGAATTTTCACTTTTATTCGAATTCAAAATTTATTTTTCACAAATATTTAATTTAAATTTTTAGCTTTAAAGAAACTGGCTGATTAAAATTGACTCAGATAATATTTAAACACGAGTTTTGGAGTGGAAATCAATAAAAAAATAGTTTTTCTTTTTCTTTTTTTTAATCGTCTAGAATCTTGCTTATACTATGATTACAATGGAGTTGAACATGAATGGTAAAAAAAGATAATACTATTAATTAAAACTAATATTATGTTAATAGATTAATTTACAAATATTAATTTAATTATATTAAAATATATTATTCTACATACAAATTTATGCTTTTCGAAAAAAAAATAGTAAAGGTACCAGATGAAAAAACTATCACGAGTAAGAATGTGAACTTATGTATTAAAGATATTTGTCATTTAACTTAGAATTAAAAATTGTCCGATAATAACAAATATTTTATTATAATAAAATTCTCAAACAATTTGCTCGAGGAAGATTAGATATAATAACATATAAAAATCAATATAAAAATAAAATATTTTTATCTATACTTTTAATTATTAGTTTATTCAATTTATGTTATGAATATTTATTTTTGATATAACATTTTATTATTTGTAAAAATTTTATCAATATCAAATAGTAAAACATATTATCAAACGATATTTTTAAATAAATTGTGATAAGATAATATATATTTAGATTATTTTATAATTTATTATGTAAATATTTTAATTACATTTAATTTTTTTTCTAAAACTAAAATGTAATTTAATATTTATTTTTATAATTAATTTAGTTATAAATCAATTTAATTATATATCAAATAAGCTTTAATTATTTTCAGGTAATTTCATGTAATTTTTATGTAATACTAAATGGAATTTCATGTAATTTCATAATTTCTTTTATGTATAATTCAATCAATTTCTCTAACGAATACCTAATATTAATGGGTAAGAAGTGAGAAAATTTTATCAACTTATCCATAATAACCCATTTGAAATCAAATTTTTGAATTATTCATAATAAGTCAACTACAAAGTTCATCACTATATTATCTTATTTATACTCAGACATGTCTAAAGATTGTAGTATTCCTATATATTTTTACTATTCTATCTTAGATTTATGACAAATTAAGCATGATGATACATATTATACCACTTTCTTCTTCATCTTAGGCCATGAACACATTTTTTTTTTTAAGTCTTGATACATTTTTGTATGTTTGAATATATCTCCAATTTGCTCTTCTGTACTTCTAAAATTAATTTCTTAATCTTCACATCATCATCAAGCACAAATATCCTACCATACCATTAAATCTCAAAATTTCTACCTTATACCAAAATTTCCTGTATTTTTTTATCCTATCAACTTCTTTTTCTTTTAAATGAATTCATTATTTAAAAGAGACTTCTAGATTTGTCTTTGTAAATCACTAATGATCTAAATTAAATTTAATTTTATTCTATTAGGACTCATGATAATTGACAAATTTATATCTCTAAAATTTTCTAATTGACTCATCTCATGAATCATCAATAAAGAGACATATAAGGATTTTCTACTTAAAACTTCAGCCCCTACATTTGCCTATAATATAATTATAATGAAAAATAATATAGGAAAATATGTCCAATATACATAAATATAATAATTATAAGATATTATAATTATAAGAGATATTGATAGATATATCCAACAATAATAAATGCTTTCACATTCATATATCTTTAAAACATGCCAAATTCAATCTGAATTGTAAAGGTTTTTCGTGTATGCCTCTGTGATTCATCTAGGAGAAAAAACAAAGTAATAATAGGAAGAATCATAGCAGAAATTTCTATACAAACTTAACATAAATAATAACTAATTTAAATTTTTCGTTATACTTAAAAAAATGGTTAGAAATAAGTACATTTTAGTGACACACAATCTAATCTCTGTTTTGTGTTGAACAGAGAGATGCCGGTAATACCTATCTAACAATTTCCCGGTACTAAAATTCCCAAGCTTTCTTTAAAAACATATGGGATCATTAAAAAAGAGGAAAAGCTCAAGTGGTGATATTTGCTTATCAAATGGCAACTTAGCTTCCAAAGATTTCTGAGTCTGACAATTATGATTTCACTGCTGCCAGCCATGTTGAATACCAATTGCTAAAAAATCAGATACTAAGAAAGATCATCGAGCAACTCTTCAGAAATAATCATCATCTTTATAGCCGAACCCATCATCCTCAGGGAAATATGTATCTGCAATATTATCAGTAGACAGCCCACTTTGATACATCTCCCCCATATCATCTTCAAATTCATCCGCTGATCTCATCTCGTCATCATTTTTCTCCTCGAATGACTCTGATTTGTCATGATTATCTAGGGGCGGATCAATTCGTGCTTTCTTCTCTTTCTTGGGATCATCAGTTTTTTCCTGTTTGATAATATTATTATAAAAATTAATTTGTAGCGAAGTTCAAAGTCTTGATCTAAATAATATTATAGGTTAATTGTCAGAAGACATCTTTCCAAAAATGTCTTTCGAACATGTTGAGATAAAGCAGTAAATCAAGAATGAAATCAGGCACAGAAAGCAAAATCATGTAGACTTGATTGGATAGGATTTTCCATAAACATGCATGAGAAAAAAAAAATGCAGTAAAACTTCTCTTACAAACTAAAATTAACTTGCGCATAAATTAAAATTAGTTTTTGTAGACGCTAAAATCATTAGCTTATCCTAAAAGATAATTTTAGTGCGTGCATAAGCTAATTTTAAACATAATTCATTTTATTTTGTATTTTCTTCTATTGTAAATGTATATTGAGAAGTTTATCAAAACAATCTTTTAATAAGAAATATTCTCTGGTGTTGGTGGAACTCAAATTCTATCAATATTACATTTGATATAAAGCAAATCAGGTTATAGAGGGAATTACCAGTTCATTAAATAATTCACCCAGACGATCAAAATTGACTTTAGATTTCAGACTCTGCAATTGCTACACAAACAAAAAAAGGTATATTTAGTAATATATATAAACAATGTCAGAATATCTTATATTAATAATTAAAAGAACTAAAGTGAGTCACTCGATGATTTGACCAATAAACCTGCACCGCGCATAATGAAACAAACTAAACAGTCGAGAATTGAGACATTACCTCATTTCTATCTTAGATGCCAACAAAGAAGCCTTAAACCCAAATGCTCAATGAGCAAGAGAATACAAGGCAAAGGGTAACTAACACGACTCAATGCTTAGAAAGACCTTGCTTTTTTATTTCCCAATCATATCTTCCCTTTTAAGTTTTTACCTCTAACATTGTTATACTGGATGGGAGGGAAAATAACAATGATAAACAATAGTTGAGACCAAGACCAGTAAACTTAACCCAAAAACCAATAAATGAGACGTGGGACTTAGATTTTTTCCGATAATGTGCAAGTACAGTCTCATGTATGGAGAACTCTTATAAGCTTCAAAGCAGAGGGAAAAATAATTTTATTCCTCAATTCAAAATACTGCAGATAATATTAATATAGAGCAAACTACACCAATGTTAACATCTCCTAAATATGGAATCTAGGAATTTAAATAATTCATTCAGCCAAGCAATATATACAGAACATTTTTGAAGCACCGAATTCAATTTGATTCACGTAGCCCTATCCATTACCAATACTATCTATCAACGAAATATCCAAATTAATGAAAAGCACCAATATTTGTTTAACTTATTTGATATTGATTTTGGATATTCCACCGATACATGTTGGGTGAAATGTTCACACTATTAAAGCATTTATATCCAATAAAATTATTATAAAAAAAAACATATAAGTTGCTGTAATATAAAATCATAGAAACATTATCTCTTCATAATCCGAAGAGGGAAAATGTTCTGTTTATGAATAATTTTAAAAGACTAATGAGAATGATAATATTATTCCTATACATAAATATCAGAGAGTACTTGATCATAGTCTAAAATTTTTTTGGACAATGTCTAAGAACTGTGTTTTTAATATGTATTTGCATAATTGCAATTATATATTTATTATGTTTTATGAATTTTTATACATTGTTAAATATGTATTTTACACATCATATCCAATTATTTTTAAAATAATCATATTGCGATATTGGATACGCTTTGTAGTCATGTTATTTCTATACAATATACAATGATAACGGGACTGCAACAATATACAGAGAAAATGCACGACTGTTGTTGAATAGATAAATACCCTTTTTTTATTAGACATTTGGCC